TTCAATTAATTAATTAATATAATTCATATAGCATTGATGATAAAATTAATATAAGCTTTAAATGTCAATTAATTGTATTAATTATACTTTTTAAGGTATACGTTAGAAAAGTTTTTTATTATATAAGTGACAAAACATTAATTAAATAAGAAGTTCTGTTTAAGAATGCGTTAATTGTATTTTTTATTTATTAATTTATAGATTTTTAGTATATGCCTTTAAAATGTAATAAATATATTTTTTGTTATAAATTTGTGTTAAAAAAATTAATTTTTAATTTTTCAATCATCTAATTAAATTTATCAACTTGACAATGATACTAAAATTAATATCAATTTTCATATTTTTTTATATATATTTATGATAAAAAAATACCCTTAGAACAAAAGTTAAAAAAAACTTCTAATTTTTATATAAAAACAGAAAAACTAATTTCATTTTCAATAACAATAACACATCTAAAAAATTTAATTCAATAGTTGATAAAATTAAAATAAACTTTTATTTTTTTATAATAATTATTAAGAAAAAAAATAGCATTCTTAACATATTTCTTAAAAACAAAAGTTAGAGCACTTAATAAAAATAATTTATTTTTGAGTTAATATTTGCAAGTGGGCAAATAATTAATGTATAATATTAATGTGTCATTTTATAATTAATATATATAAAAGTGTAAATATTAATTTTAATTAATTAATTAAAATAATTTTACAAATTATGTTAAAATAAAAATTAATTTTTATAATTTTTTATAAATTAATTAAAAATGTATATTTATTACAAATTTAAGGAACAAAGTAGAGAGGCCTATAATTTAAATACCACCTGATTGTGAGTGATATAATATGGTTACGTTACGACTGTGTAAACGTGCATATAAACAACAAAATGTATTGATGATTTTCAGTTTCCTGACTTTGTCTTTTTCCTTATAATTTTTTAGTTGCTTTTACTTTAATTGTGAAAATGAAATGTTGAGAGAATTTTGCATGAATACAGATGGGTACATGAACACTGTCCCGTCGAACCGAAAGAGGTGAGCTGGCGTTGCTGGCCTATAATTTCCTGGACGGTGTTTTGAGCCCCCACAAACACTGGTGTGGCTCGCAAGTTGGGTCTACCGATCGCATCACCCTGTAACGGAAGCCTCCAGAGCCATCATTCTTTCGGTGTTAATTAATTATTTATATATATATATATATATATTTTTTTATATATTTATAGTCAATGTGTCTC